AAATACGCATCTCGATTGCGGTGTTTCAAAATTGCTGATCCTTCTTTGTTTTTGAAAAAGAACAGTGTAGAACATTTGAAGGGCTTGACGAAGGCGCATAAGTGCAGTTTTTCTTTAAAAAAATTAGATATTAATTATTTTAAGTAAAACTAGTTTTGATGGATATTCTGAGAAAAATTCGCTCCGAAATTCCAATTTTTAAGCATCAAAATGACAGTTTGAACTTTCTTTCCGCCATGAGGATCCATGTAATTTCGTAACTTCTAACACGTATTTCTCGAAATAACAAAAACTGCACTTGTGCGCCTTTTCCTTCAAGCCCCTTATTTCTGCATGATTTTTTTAGGGATGCTCTTGAATCAGAGAAGAGAAATGAAGCAAAATGTTGCCAAATAACGACGATTAGTTTAATGATCCTTCAAAATAGAAGAATATGGACGGAAATCTGCAATATCGCGAGTCAAGACATCGTGATCGTTCATCATTGATCGTGTTTCACCATCGAAATCTTACGTAATTACTAAACACTTACGAATCATACCTACCGCTTCCATATGCGACGACATATTGTCTAAAAGTGAAATTTAACGCTCTCGAGAAAATAATGGACGGAGTTAGTATTCACAAAATTTTTGAAAAAGACTGGGTCGGAAGGAGTCCAGTCAGGCTTAATTGTATTGCAACGTTCATAAGTTTTATTTGATAATTTTGAAAAAGAACGGTTAAGTTATTTATTTATTTATTTATTTATCTATTTTTTTTTTTGTAGTTTTGTGTGGATGTAATTACTTTTTATGATCTGACGATTTCCTAGCATTTTCGATGTGAAATTCTTCTGGCCTTCACCCCTTCATCCGTAGAAATCGTAGATGAAAACGTTATTCACTGACAGCGAGCTGACTCCCGAGTGTTTCTAGGGAGTCACGATGAGGGGGGGGGGGCGCCCCTTAAAAAATTTGTGACTGTATGTGGCTGTTTGGTTTTAATACCATTAGACTTCCGAGCAAAGAGTCTCTAGTTAGTTATAGAGTCCGCGCCAACTAAGTTAACGCACTTTGAAACTGCGACACCAGATCCGCTATCTTAAATGCGCAGTTATCCAGGATTGCGCGAAAGGTCTCAGAATATATATCGACGGTGAAACTACCAAACCACGTATCTCGGTTTGCGACGTCGCAGACTTCCTGTCATACTTTATTTTTTAAATGAAAAACTACTTAACGTCCAGTCTTGAAAATTTCTGTGATTTTTCCTCTT